AKSMATTTATTCAAGATAGAAAAAACAAAACTACTAAAACATCTTGAAAAGGAAAACGGGAGGTTGACCCTTTGGTGTTTCCCTAAGAAAAAGATAAAAACAGCATAAGCTATATACAATAAAAAAGATTCAAGAACTATTTACAAGAGATAAACTGGCTAACTAACAGTCTATAGTAACAATTGATAAAAAAGACAAGCAACTAATGCGGGATGGATGGCCAGAAGTTCTGGGAGCGTATGCCAGTAGTGCACCGGATTCCGCGAATGACTCAGTGGCCCTCTGTGCTCTATCAACAAAAAAATAGGCTCCACTGTGTCCTATCCTCCTAACTTTGCCACCGCATACAGTTGGATCCTTGTGAAAGCAATTAGCAAGTTTGGGAAATTTTTCGACAAACAAAGATGTAACAGTTGCACTCTAATTTCATCAATTTTTCCATTTCCACCTACGTTGTCCAGTCTACCTCTTTTTTCAGCTACTCCTAACTTATTTTCAAGCCTGGAAGTGTCCTTGACAAGGCATTGGCAACAATACCTGTATGCTTCACCTTACTTCTTTAACAGATCCTAGCAAAAGCCGCGAAATGTCAATCAGTGCAGATAATAAATCAAATTTGTAAATTAACATTATGGGTTTCACATACCTCTGCTTACGAAAGCTTTTCCGCTGTACTTGCGGCTGGATGTTCTGCTTCAGTCCATTGCATTGGAGCTAAATATATAACTATCTTGGCCAGCTTGGTGGATGAATATACTGACTACGGGTGCCCTGAGAAAGTATTCCAGGCTCTTTCACCACCGTAGGTATGATAAAGTTCGCATTTGTTGAGTTATTCCTGCGTCTCTCGGACGCCCCCATTTTTCCGCGTAAGCAATGGACCTACTTCTGCTGAAGTCTTTAATTTATCTACAAACAGAAGCGAATTTGGGCATTTGTAGATACCTCCACCTGCAAAGGCAAGATTGCCTGTCGATGTATCGATAAAATCATAACAAGTTGTATTTCCGCCGTATTTGTAGTGCGTTTTTGGTAGAACAGTGAAAGACATCTCCACTTTCATGGCAGCTGTAGTATTTTCAACTCAATTCTGACAATGTTGTGTACCCTACTCTTTCTGTCGATGCTACTGTCTGACTTGGTTCATTAGAGGTGTTTCACTATCCGCTATAGTTCTTTGGTGAAGCTTGAAAGAGACAAAGCACTTGTGTTTCGTTCACTTGAAACCATCGGTTTCTGAAATAAGAAAAACCAGCATTATCATCTTGTTGAACATCGTCACACTTGATAACGCAAACATGTTTTAAACAAATAAAAACTTAACTTAAAATCCTTAACACCCTAACATCAACGAATATCCATAATCTCCATACCATTTTCTAAACATTTCTTAAGGTGCTGACACAGAGAATTTGCTTTACAATCAAATACTTCCTTTAGTCTCGTGACCTTAATGTCTAATTCAGCGGTGATATTGTAAAGAGAAAGTATATATATATCTTATTAACCAAGCGCGAGGGCCGTACTGGCAGAATATCGGCCCGAGGTCTTGACAGTACGGAGCTCGCTGCGCTCGGTCCGTACAAAAAAGACCGAGGACCGATATTCTTCCAGTACGGTCCCGAGCAAGCTTGGTTAATAAGAGATTTA